CTTATCATTTTAACATAGAAAACATTACTTTAGCATTTATTCTTGATGATTTCTGTATTGAGTACCAGCCCTGTGCTTGCTTAAACATGGCAGGACACTAAAAGACAAATACATTTTCCCGATACTTAGGAGAAAACAAAATCTACACAGAAGAGAATAATAAGCAAACAACATAATCGCATGCTAAGTTGTGTGATACAACCAGAAAAGGTGACCTCATTCTTCAGGAGAAAATGAATCAATAGGGAAGCCACTTTCATGATGGAGAAAAATATAACAGGAAGAAGGACAAGGTCTGCTGAGGCTTACTTCTTACAGATTCAAGAAAGTAGTAAGCCTGAGCCATCAATCGCAGTGACAACTGAAAGTTTGGATTAATGGAGTCCACATAGCTTAGTAATTAAAAGCAAATAGTTGTTCAGTTCTGTGGAGTCAGTTCCTACTCATAGTGACCCTGTATTGGGTTTCCAAGGAGCAGCTGGTGAGTTTGAACTGCCAACCTTGTGGTTAGAAATCCAATGCTTATCCTACAGCACCACATGGGGAAAGTAAATAGACCGGGATCTAATTCTGCCTCTAGGGAGCTCTGGTAGCGTAGTGGTTACGAATCAGGCTGCGAACCGTAGGGCCAGCATTTTGAAACTACCAGCTGTTCCGCGGGAGAAAGATGAGGCTTTCTGCTCCCATAAAGATTTACAGCCTCGGGAACCCTGTTCAGGGTCGCCACGGCACATAACAACAACAGTTCTGCCTCTACCACCTACCAGACATATGTTAGACAAGTCAACTGCTTTATACTTCAGTTTCCTCATCTTAAAGTGAGAAAATTACCACCTACTTTCATAGGTTATTGTAATGATTAAGTGAGATAATATATGCAAAGCACTTTGCATACAGTAAGCACTTACAAAATGGTGGTCATTTTGCTTTTTACCACAGTTGAGTATATAGTGGGTTTGATGAATGGGCACTGGAAAATCATTGTAGTTCCTTAGAAGGGATTTAATTAATGGAGGTTTTAGGAAGATTAATCTGGCTGTGGTTTGTAGGATTGATGAGGGGAAGAGTCTTGAGACAAGGAGATATGTCAGAAGTCTTGCAAGAGTAATCTAGGTTTGATTTTATGAAGACTTGAATTAGGAAGGTGGCAGTGGAAACTGAAGGGAAGAAAGAATGGTAGATGGAGAAAAGAATCTACAGAATTTAGAGACTTGATCTAGAAGCAGAAAGACAAATGGGGTTAGTGAAAGATGATCCCCAGGGTTTGAGTTGTGTAGACACTGGATCAAGGCAGCGTCAGAAGTTGTTACATGGTTCTGTGTGGAATTCATTCATCAGAGGTAAAAAGCTGATGTGATCAGGACATGAGCAACTAGAATGTAGGTGCCAGAGAGGGTAGGGACCTTCTCTGTGTTGTTTGCCTTGTGTAAAGTAACTCACTATATCAAAATCCCCTCCCAAAAAAGTATTTTTTGAATGACTGAATAAATGGTTGATTTAATGATGGAAACTGTGTGTGCTTATGAGTAAGTTAATGCTGAACAACAACGCCAAGTAGGTAGTTTTTAAACTGTGAGCAATACAGCAACCTCTAGTGTGGGGTGACAGGATATTGAATAGAATTCACATTTACTCTGAAGAAAAATGCATGTTTCTCAAGGAAAAATCCATCCAATAGAAAGTAGTCACTGTTGGAACCTGAACACTACTACAAAGGGAATACTCAAATTCAGAGAACATAAAATAAACTTATTTAAAATAGGAAGAAAAAAAAATCTTGTTCTTGTGCATACTGTTTTATCCTTTCCATCCTGGGTATAGGATAAAAGAAAACTCTTACTTGCTTGTTAGAAGAAGAAAGCTCTTACTTGAAGTTCTTACTTGGCAGATGTCAGTTGAAAGCTCTGCTTATGGAATCTGCTGCAGTGTCAAACTGTGTTGGATAATTTTAGACGAATGTGTCATGTGTGACATGGAAATATGGCATGCTGTACATTAGTGATTTCCCAAGTGTTTGGATCAGGTAGTAATGTGCTGAGAAAGTGCTCTTTATCTAGCCACACTGTGTACTTGCAGAGCAATGGGGAAACGCTTGGGTAGAAATTACTTTAGTCAGAAAAAGAATCCATTTACAATCTGCGCCTTCTAACATCTTTCAGACAGTGCATTGTATTAAAGAGGCATTTTTTGATTAATGTTTTATAAACATTTTTCAGCATGACAGCTAAAAGTCCCTGTAAAATTGTAAATGTGTGCATTGTGTTCACTTCCATAAAGTCAAATGCCATCTCATAAAGTCTAGTTGGGGCCTGTCAGCCATGATGACACAGACTCAGTACCCAGGAGCATTAAAATGAATTTGCTTCATTTGTATAACTGCAGTGATAGCAAGATGAAAAGAGTCCTATATTTAAATTTTACTTTAGAAATAAAACTCATTCTATCAGTTTTACTTTATGTTTATTACTATTTTCAGTGAATGGAGTGAAAATGCTGTGGTAATCCACACACTAACTTTATGATGAACCTGGACAAATACCAATGTATTCATTCACTGTACTCCTTAGGAGCACCTACAAGTATTTTCACAAGTGAAGAAGATACAGTTCTGACCCCAAGAAGTTTCCAGTTCAGTGAAGGAAAAGCACAAGAGGCAGGCAATGGTAGAGAATGCAATGAATTCTAGGTTGGGAGGTCCTCAGGGTCAGTAAAGCTTAGAGTAGAAAGGATCAAACAGCCAGCCTTGACCCCAGGCATGGCATTCCAGAGGAGGTGAATTGAGGGGAAGGCCACGGAGTTAGGCAGGTCAAGAAGTGAGTGACAGGCATTCTGGGCAGAGGGAGCTCATATGCAGTGGCTTAGAGCTCTGGTAGCATAGTGGTTACGAATCGGGCTGC